GGTAACGTAACAATATCAATTTCAGATCACATGGCACAGTTTGTTTGCATTCCTAGTACTCCTTTCAAAAGAAAAAAACCCATAACAACTAAACGATCATTTAAGAATTTCAATGATAATGAATTTATTCAGGATATTTCTAATATTGACTGGAAGTTTTATATCAGAAATGGTGATGATGTCAATGAATCAATGAACTTCTTTTTAAAAACATTCAACACAATTCTTGATCGTCATGCCCCGTACCAAAAACCAAGTTAAACTCAAATCTAAACCTTGGATTACTAATGGAGTTCTGAAGTCAATTACAATTAAAAATAAGCTCTACAAAAAGTATATAAAATCTAAAAATTGCAACACAAAAAGTCAACTATTTGATAAATTTAAATTGTACAGGAATAAAATTAGCAATTTATTAAGAATTTCCAAAAAGTCATACTACATCTCCTTCTTTAACAAAAACTTCAACAATATAAAAAATACATGGAAAGGAATAAAAGAAATTATTAATATCAAACCCTCTACACCAATTAAATCTTACACTCTTAAGTCTAACGGTTACACTATCTCTGACAGTATGGCTGTTGCTAACATTTTTAACAAATACTATGAAACAATACAACACCCACCCAAAAGTAAAATGATTTCTTCTAAAAGTATCTTCTCTGACTATTTAAAAAATGCTAATTCGAATTCTTTCTTTCTTAATCCAGTGACTGAAAATGAGGTGTCTAATTTAATAAAAAATAGTTTACAAAATGGTAAAAGTTTTGGACCAAATAGTATCCCCACACACCTTCTTAAACTTACTTCTCATGTTATTTGCAAGCCTCTTTGTACCATATTAAATAATTCTTTTAATAAAGGTCTTTTTCCAGATGTTTTTAAGATAGCCAAAGTTATTCCTATCCATAAAAAGGGTTCTCTAATGGATCACAGAAACTATCGACCGATTTCTCTTCTATCTAACATTAGTAAAATATTTGAAAAAGCCATGTACAACAGACTTTATAGCTTTCTTGACAAAAACCAATGTCTTTACAAACATCATTATGGGTTTCGTAACAAACACTCCACGACTCATGCACTTATTAAAATAACTGAAACTATTAGAAATGCTCTTGACAATAAGCTTTTTGCATGTGAAGTGTTTCTTGACTTAGAGAAAGCCTTTGATTCTGTTGATCACTCCATCCTCTTAAAAAAATTGGAACACTACGGTGTTCGAGGTAACACTCTCCAATGGTTTTCATCATATCTTTTTAATAGATCGCAATTTGTCTCCATTAATGATGCTAAATCTTTTCCAATAAAATGCTCCACTGGTGTACCCCAAGGTTCTGTATTAGGACCACTGCTTTTCCTTATTTTTATAAATGATCTTAATATCTCTCTAAAATTTTCAACGGCTTACCATTTTGCTGACGACATCAACTTACTCATAACTAACAAATCATTAAAAAAAATTAACAAACATATTAACCATGATTTATCTAACCTTCTTCAATGGCTGCGCTCTAACAAACTAAGTCTTAATACCAACAAAACTGAACTCATTATTTTCAAATCTAATCAATCTAAAATGTGTAAAAACCTAAACTTTAGACTAAGTGGACAAAAAATTTTTCCCTTACTTTCATTAAAATATCTTGGAATCCAAATTGACTCAGATCTATCCTTTTCCTCTCATCTTAAAAACTTAGCAGTAAAATTGTGTAGATCAAATGGGATGCTAGCCAAAATTCGCCACAATGTCAATTATGAAACACTACTTAATATATACCATGCAATTTTTGGATCTCATCTTAGATACGCTTGTCAGGTTTGGGGACAATGCAAGTCTAATGCTTTTTTAAGGTTATGTAACCTACAAAACAAAGCTTTAAAAATAATATTCTTTCAACAGTATCATTCTAACTCTGACATCCTTTACTTTCTATCAAAAATACTCAAATTATGTGATCTTGTTTATCTATTAAATTGTCTATTTGTCTGGATTCATAAACAAGTAAACCTCCCTCCGTCATTCTCCAATTTTTTTACCACTAAAAAAAGTTCTCGTTATTACCTTCGATCTTTGAGTAACTTTAAATTATCTATCCCAAATCGCTGTTCGGTAAAATACGGTGATAATTCTATTACAAACCAATGCGTAAAATCATGGAATAATTTACCTTTTCATTTTCAATCCCTCAACACTTTTTCACAATTTAAAACCCGTCTTTTTGACTTTTTGATAGAAAAATACGCAAATTAAAATCTTAGGCTTATAATAGATTATTATTACTATTGTTAGTAGTATTATTATTATATGTGATGTTAATATTACTTACATTTTATTTGCATTTTTATTACCGTCATTATTACTTATTGGAATTGTTTAATATATGAATGTGATATTTGTTAATATTATTATTGTTGTTACTATTGTTGTTAACTTCATTACTTTTATTATTATTACTATTATTGCTTTTGTTATTATAATTACTGATATAATCATTGTTATGGTCATTATTATGTTTAATAGTATTATTGGTATTATTATAATCGTCTTCGTTTAATTTACATTATTATTATTGTTATTATTGCTATTATTATTATTATTATTATTATTGTTATTATTATTATTATTATTAAAAAGCACATGAAAAAGAAATAATATCAAAATCCCAAAACAACCCAAAAATCGTTTACAAATATATCAACAAACAACTAAAAATTAAAGATAGAATTCGCTCTCTCAAAGATACTTCAGGCAGAATTATTGAAGCTCTTCCTGATATAGTTGATCTTCTGAACTCTCAATTTAAATCTATGTTTACACTTGAAAGCTCTGAAAATTTTCCTTTGCTAAATAAAAGTGGTATTATTTCTGAATGCATTTATAATGAAAACTTGGATTTCTCTATCTCAGATATTATTCAGGAACTTGCCGATCTAAAGCCTTATAAATCATTCGGATCTGACGGCTTGCATCCCTTAATACTCAAGATATGTGCCAAAAGCTTTGCAATTCCATTAACAAAAATCTTTCATAAATCCTTTAATTCTGGAGTAGTACCCACTCAATGGAAATTAGCAAATATTAGTCCGATCTATAAAAAAAAGGGAGATAAATTACTTGCTGAAAACTATAGACCTATTTCACTAACATCTGTTGCCTGTAAAATCTTTGAAAAACTTGTAAAGAAAAAAATTTTAAAGCACATTAACGATAATAAAATGCTCTCTGCAAATCAACATGGCTTCCTTTATCATAAATCATGCGTAACTAACCTAATAGAAACTTTTGATATCATTTCGTCCTCCATAGCATCTCACCAATTTATTGATGTAATCTATCTTGACTTTGCCAAAGCGTTTGACTCTGTGCCTCACAACAGACTTTTGTTAAAATTAAGATCTTTTGGAATAAACGGCAAACTCCTACAATGGATTAAATCTTTTTTAGTGGGCAGAAAGCAACGCGTTACAATTAACAATACCAGCTCTGCATGGGTTGATGTTCTCAGTGGTGTTCCTCAAGGTTCTGTTCTCGGCCCGCTCCTCTTCATTCTCTACACAAATGATCTCGCAAAACTCACTGAAACTTCTGAGATATTTGCCGATGATACTAAACTTTTTTCTAAAACCTTATCGCAATCTAATTTTGTTGATCTGCAGGATCGTCTACGCTTGGTATACGAGTGGTCAAACACTTGGTTACTTAAGCTAAACACTTCAAAATGCTGCGTCATTCATTACGGTCGAAACAACCCCCATTACAATTACTTTCTTCAAAATAACCAAGGAATCAACCAATCTCTAAGAAGCTCTACTAAAGAACGTGATTTAGGAGTCATTTTTACATCTAACCTCAAGTGGAGCGCTCATATTCAAACAGTTGTCTCTAAGTCCTTACAAATTCTCGGTATGCTGAAAAAGACATTCACTTTCATTGATGAAAAAATGGCTCTCAAATTATATAAAGTATTTATAAGACCACATCTTGAATATGGAGTGTCCATTTGGGCTCCTTTTTTAAAAGCTGATATGGCTTTGGTTGAATCTGTTCAACGCAAAGCTACAAAATGGGCTTACAGCTTGAGGCATCTTCAATACTGCGAAAGGCTAAAAAGATTAAACCTACCATCACTTGAGTTTCGACGCCTTCGATGCGATTTAATCCAAATTTTTAAATTAATACATCGTTTTGATATAGTTAATGATAAATATCTACCAAAATATATTAACTCCGTGTCTCGTGGTCACCATTCTAAAATAAGGCGTGAGTATGTTCTAAACTGTCTTCCAAGATATAATCATTTGTATAATAGATCAGCAAAATACTGGAACAATCTACCAGAGCAAATAACTTTGTACTCCACTGTACTTTCTTTCAAAAATAGACTAGACTCCTGGTTGTAGAAAAAGTTTGGAACAAATATTTATAAAACTGGTTGTTTATAGTGGGGTGTTTCCCCTGCTCGCTGTATGTGTACATTCTATGTAAATTTACGGCTACAACTATAATAATAATAACTATTGTTATTATTATTATTATTATTATTATTATTATTATTATTATTATTATTATTATTATTATTATTATTATTATTATTATTATATGATTGCTATTATTATTTAATTGGTGTTTACCTTTGATTAATACTCGTACTATTAGTAAACTACCATGAAATGTAAACTATTATTTCAGAATATATATATTGTTATTGTTATTGTTATTCTGGGTAATAATTGCATCTGCAAAATATATAAAAAATAATAATGACAGAAAAATAATAAAAAATAGATCTACATGGTGACGAAAGGTTGGTGTCGATATAATATAGATAGATCTATATGGTGAAGAAATGTAGGTGACGAAAATTTCAATCTCATTTTTTAAAAATAATCAAGTTGCCTTTTAAATATTTATCTCGGTTATCGGCCCACTCGGCACAGTGCACTGTGCCGATGAGAAGTGAATTAAATAGTTGTTCCTCCGCGTGTCGATTTTGATTCGCCGTTTGTAGCAGAGGTTTTGTGTTTTTTTTTTTTTCATTTTTATAAAAATGCATTGCGATTGAAATAATGGTTTGCTGCCGTCCATTTCACTTTTACTCGGTCTTGAATCCTTTGAATTAATTAATCATGTGAAGTTTAACTTTCAATAACTTGAAGTCATAATATATTCGGATGTTATTAAGTTTTATCATCTATGATTAAGTCGAATTGATGATGAAAAAAGTAAGTTTTCTCTTGAACGTTTTACTAAGTTTTATTTGTTTAAAAGTATTTATACCAGCGAGTCCATTTAATTAAATCGCACAATTGTAATGTCATATAAACTCAAAGTAACATTTTATGCAGAAAAAAATGACTGCATATATATTTTTTAATAATTCTAACATAAACACTTTTAAAAGTGAAAAACTATTTTATACTGCTGCACGGTTAATTTTACGTTTGATGTTTGATTTTTATGCAATTTAATGTCGTAACGAAAAAAATTGAAGTGATATAATTTTTGTTGTTATTCATTAAGACAAAAATTATATCAATTTAATTTTTATTTCAAAAATTATATCAATTCAATACAATGACTTATTGTAACTATTTATTTTAATATGATCGAAATTCTTTTCCATAGCTTCTCATTCCTAAGCTTACAAAAATTTCGTATTTGATATGCTACGCCAATTGTTTTAGTTTTTTTTTGTTTTCACTTTAAAAAAATATATGATAGTGATAAACTTAATATCATGTCTTTAGTAGTAAAACAATAAATAACATTAAGGCCCCTGTCCCAGAGAAATTTAGCGGAAATCAGCGTATTTTTACAGAAAAAACAATTTTTGCCTTTAAAAAAAAAAAGGCTTTTGAATTTTAATTTGGGTGGCGCCCAAATATGGTTGACAATGTCAAAGATAGTCTAAAATAGCCCCTGCTAATAGCTAGCTAGTGTATGTGTGTGTGGTATTCCTTTGCAAGACTATATTTAATGAATTAAAGAAATCATTATTTTTAAATATATATTTAAAATCCTCTGGTCTCTCATTAAAAAAGTTGTAACCACCCCTGATTGCATGAAACAGCCATGGGTAAGTGCAAATGTGCATATAGCAACTTATTTTTAAGGTTAGGTGTATATAAACATAAATGCACAGTTTTTTAGTAAAGTAATAAGGACATCATACTAAATTAGCCATGGTCTTCAGTATTTACATGTTGAATATTTAGTTTGCATTTCAAAAATTAAAAAGGAGTATAACTATATGATACTGTGCAGTGCTGGCCTTAGCTGCCCTCATGCAAATAATTTTTAGTGCCTTTGACAATTATATTTGCTGGTAAATTACATGGAAAGTAATAAATTAAGTTTAAAAAATAGGTTGCAATGAAATGTTTACTTTGCATGCAGCATAAAAAGGAGCATTTTATTTACATAAAATTTATATGAAGCTGGTTCTGTGCCTGTCTTATCATGGAGGATTAAGTATATATAGTGTAAATAAACTGTCTTTTTAAACATGTTTGTAATATATAAGTATATATGTGTAAATAAACACTAATCAAATATTTGAAAACCTAATAGCATACCATACAATAATAATTGCTCAGAAAAACTCCACCATAAAGGCACTAGACATTAAAACAAAAGTTTTCTTATGAATAAACATGCTATGCTAATTGCTTTTGATTTTTGTTTTCTCTTTAAGAAAGTGGTTTTTTTAACAAATTATTTTTTTTTTAAAAGTTTTTAAGTTGAAATAATATTATTTCTTTTGTATTTTAGATTATAATGCAAAATGTTTGTCATCAACCTGTGCCATTTAATAATATTTTGCTCTGCCTTTATCTTTTCTGATGTCATTAAGCCAGATATTTTTAGTTCATTATCATATTATGAAGTTATACAAAAATCTGATATTCATCATAGATATCGAAGAGATTTGAATGGTCAAAAATCAAGATACATGAGTTTTAAAGTTCATGGTAAATACTTTAACATATATTTATATCATTCTCATAGTATCTTTTCTCCTGGTTTTGAGGCTGTCTCAGTTGATGGAACTGGTCAAGAAAATAAAGTTGAGATTGATAAAGATTCTTATTATGAAGGATATGATTTAAAAGATCAAAGTTCACATATTATTGCTCATGTAGAAACCAATATGATAACAGCTACTTTGATATCTAATAATAATACTTATATAATTGAACCAATGTGGCGATATAATAGTAGTGATTTAAATAAAATGTTAGTTTATAAATTATCGGATGTATATCTAAACTTTACTCATATGCACATGCCAAAATTATTTTGTGGAGTTAATAAAGTAAATCCATATAAAGGAAATGTAAAAATTACACCAGAAAGAAATAAAAGGGAAACTTCTACAAAATTAGATAAAGAAAAAAATAGATGTACCTTGGAGCTTGTTGGAGATTATTCATTTTATGTCAATATGGGAATGTCAAATGAAGTAAATGCTGTAAATTACATGGTTCAAGTAGTGAATAGAGTTAATTTGATTTATAAAGAAACAGAATGGACTGAAATTGGAAAAAATATTGGTTTTCAAATTATAAAAGCCACTGTATTGAATAGTTACAGTAGTGATAATAAGCATATGTAAGTAAAATTTATTGAATAATAATAATTATATATACAGGTCTCGGCAGGAATGGAGGGCGATTGCCCATGCCTGCCTCAATACCTATTAAGTCGGTTTTTGTATTTTACTTACATAAACAAAAATTAAAAAACATTTAGCGCATTTAAAATTAATTATTGCTTTAAATGTTTTACATAATTATGTAATGATGAAAAAAAGCAAAAGAATGTTTATTCATTGTTACCTTTTTGTGAGTGTCGTTGAGGTAAAAAAGTTTGTAATTGAAGATTTTTAAGAAAATGTTTCGGTGTAGTTATTTTTATATAAACTTGATAAGTTCAAATGACGAGTGTAAGAATTTCATTAAAAAACACCTTAAAACTACTGTAAAAAAGCAACAACAATAAAAAACTAGAGAGCTTTAGTAGCTTTTAAAAAGCTATTTAAATTTTATATTTTCAATTAAAAACTTTTGAAACATAAAGTGTACTTTTCAATACACACTATTTTTATATTTGCATAACTTTAGAACTTTTTAACTTAGAATCTCAAATATGACTTAATGAAAGTGAAAATAATAGATAAATGCTTGTTTTAAACTTAAATCTTCTCTCATAAACAGTAATAAATTCATTTAAACTTGAATTATGTAACACTTAAATAATTTTTAAAGTATTAATTCATTCAAGTTTTAATCGTATAAACATCAATAAATACAAATTTCTCTCGATACTAAATTAATTTTTTTAAAATTTTTTTGCTGGATTGTGATCAGCGTCTTCAGCTTAAAAGTTTTTTGTTTATTTTTTTTATATCTTATTTTTAAAACGGCGTTGATTTAAAGTCATTTTATAGATACATAGACAGTCATGCTAGAGTCCTTAACATTGCCCAGGCTGATCAATTTAAGACAATACTTAATCAACAGCATCCAAAAATACAATATACTATCAAATTTGAAAATGAAAAAAAAAAACGCCAAATTTTATAGACATACCGTAGATTTCCCTAATTCTGAAAAAAATTGTACTTAAAGTTAAATAACTATGCTTGCTTTATTAAATTTCAAATTAATTTTTGTTAATAAATAAACTGGAACCTAAACTGAGTCAAACCATGTTAAGCAACATTATATTTATTATTAAAACATCGTTAATTTTTAAATTTAAAAAGTAAAGTTTTTGTTCGGAGTTAGGAATACGTTCATAATTCCTAATTCCGAACATATATATCAAATCCCAAAAAATAGCATTCAATTTAAAAAAGTAAATAATTTATGCTAGTGTAGACCTCTAGCTTAGAGTTAAGTAAAAGATTTTTAAAATTTAAAATTACTTTTATTTTAATGTAATGGTATAACAGAGTGTGCATTACTATTTATTAGATCCTGTCTTCCACTACATCAATATATCTGTATTTTTTTTTGTAACCAGTTAAAAAGTTTCTGTTAGCTAACCGTTGTTAACCAGAAGAAATCTTAGTTATTAGTATCAGGTTGGTTGCAGCCTTAACGAATGCTCCCCCATTAATCAAATAGGAAGGTTTTACTGCTTTTTTATCATGTAGCAATGCAGTTTTATCCCTTACGCAGTTGTATTTTTAAATGACAGTAATTCAAAGACTGAAACATTGTTCAGAAACCTCTTAATTTTGCTCACTGAAAATTATTATTTTATAACCTTCCATTATTATAACCACGCCATAATTCTTTGCCAGTAAATAGTATTGCAGTTAGTTTTTATTAAATAGTATTACATCAATATATCTGTATTTGTCTATTATCTGTAAATTATCAAATCTGTACAGTACAGCTACGGTTGCTATCTCCAAATAAACTTTTTCTTCTTTTGAGGATTGCTGAGTCCAATATTTTTTCTCTAACTTTTCGGGCTTCTTTTTCATCTAGTTTTACTTTTTTTAGTAGCTTGTGTTGCTTGGTTCTGAGCCATTGCAGTAGTTCAGTCATCTTATGACTTGTTGTTCTTTTAATTATTGTTCCCTTTTCTTTGCTACTGCATTTTTGATGCTATTTAATTTTTTGAACAATACTTCTTTTGTTAAAAGTCTATTCATAGAGTTTTTTGAATTTATTTTATTGGTTTTATCGAATGAAACTTGTGAATCGGTAGACTTTCCAGAAAAACAATTCTCAATTTTGTCATTTGTTACATATTGAAAAGTAGCGTCGATTGGAGTTTTATTTGGAGTTATTTTTGAACGATTGAGTGGAAATATGCCTGTATTTTTAAAACCACTATGTGCATTTTTCGCTTTGAAGTCTTTATTTGCAATAAGGTCTTTTAGCATGGGTAGAAACTGCCGATTACATAAACTTAAATAAGAATTTCTAACCAAATAAACTTCTACAATTCGCTTCCATTCCGTCTTTACTGTTTTAAAAACTTCAACATCTAGTGGTTGCATAAAATGACTTGCATGAGCTGGCAATCAGAATAAAATTAAGTTGTTTGATTCAGATAATCTTTTTAATTCAAAACTAATGTAAGATGCATGGCAGTCTAAAAATAAAATTTTAGATCCTTGAAGTTTGTTTGCATGAACTGAAAAAATTGAATGAAACCATTCTATGAAATTCTTTTTTTTTTTTGCGCATTTTTATATTTGCATGTTTCCGCGTGCACATTCCATTATTGAAATTAGTGACTTTTAACAACTTCAAACTGCTCATTCATTACGTTTGTGCAAAAAAGAATGATGTAGTGCCTTTTATATTTTATATCAGTGCTTTGATAATATAATATCTTTACTAAAAATTATTCTTTTAATATTTTATGAAAATAAAAAAATAGCTTTTTTTTTTTGTCCCAAACTCTTGGACGAGCATTATTTTATAGCTCGTTATGAGCTGAATGGGCATTGTTTATCGCACCTAGAATGTTTGAAAATACACTTTATGGGCACGTTTTATGAGCGATTGGGCTCACTTCATCACAAGCCCTGATATATATATATATATATATATATATATATATATATATATATATATATATATATATATATATATATATATATATATATATATATATATATATATATATATATATATATATATATATATATATATATATATATATATATATATATATATATATATATATATATATATATATATATATATATATATATATATATATATATATATATATGAGCAGAGAAAGCTCTCTTAAAACGAAATTTGGGAATTGTGGGCTCTTTTTAACTTGAGTTTTTTTTTTTGCAACAACCCTGCTTTTTAAAAAGCATTGCAGCATATTATGCAATTAGTTTTTTTTATAAATGACATTGTGTTTTTTGTTTTAATTACAACGATAATTATACTTTCGTAAGAAAAATTATACTTTTGCGAGAGCCATACATTGCTCCTGTAAACCGTTTTAGGGGAGTGTGGGCGGGAGCTAAAGTGCTTGCTTCCCGCCAAGGCCTGAATATATATATATATATATATATATATATATATATATATATATATATATATATATATATATATATATATATATATATATATATATATAGTAATATGTTTAATATTTATAATAGTTTTTCTGTTTATATTTAGAATTTATTGAAAAAAAATGAGATTACAGGCCTTGCGATGAATAAGAACTGCGCGACGCATAAGCACGACGTGATTTTTGACGTCATTAAATTCTTTTTATTTGCTTTTCATATTTATCGACATTAACTGCTCCAATTTATTTAATTACCGCAAAACTACTTTAAATCGTTTATGTAGAAATGTTATTATTTAAAAATGTTTTGGAATGTTTCGTTTTTTAAAATGTAAAAACATTTGTTTATTTTCTCGACATTTGTCACGTTTTGTCTATACTAAACGAATAAAAAACATTATAACTTAAATTTAAAAAAGATTATAAAATATGCTAATATTTGATTTTTTTTTTCTTAAATATGTAGTTTAAAGTTTTTCAAATAATTATTTTTTCTTTTTAAAAAGTCAGCGAGTAATAAACTGGAACTTTTAATATTGTACGATTAAAAACTGTGCAATAGCTAATATTTTTACAAGCGATTTTATATAATATTTATTTATTTTTATTTATTTTCATAAAGCGGTTGATAAGCACAACCACTCGTATTAATAAAAAACTTAAACGAACGTTTTGAATAGATTTTTAATGTTAACAAGGAATTTTATTTCTAGTAAAATAAAATAAAATGTTAGAATAAAAATCTTATAGGTATAAAAGAAATATTTCAGCGAAAAAATTATTCTTAAAAATTATTCTTAAAAATTATTCGAAAAACTATTGACGTTCTATTTTTCAGCAGCTGTTCTTGAGCACGCTTCGATGAGTTTCGGTAACTTTTAACATAAAAGCGATCGTTATTATTTAAGTAATTTTTTTGAGTTACTTTTTACAAAAATTTTAATAACTGTACTTTTTTATTGAATCAAGTAGAATACGTTTTAATATTAATCTTTTTTTTTTTTTATTTGCCCTCACCAATTTTTAAAATGTTTCCTCGAAATCACTCTTAAATACTTAAAATACGTCTAACAGTTAATAAAAATTTTTAAATCTATGGAATAATTTTAAAACCTATCAAACCCCTGTAAAATAATTATTTAAGTTTAAAATCTAAAACTAAAAGAAAGTATTTTTGTTCAATTTTATCGACAACTTTGCTATTGCTGAATAATTTTATTAAAATGTTAGCTTAAAAGATTTAAACTTTTTTTTTAATTTTTGAATTTTTTCTACTTGTAAATAATGAGCATATTTAATTTTTTTAAATTCAAACTTTTATTTCAACTGCGTGCGGTTTTTAAAATACTTTATTAAATGTTAAAATAATCGTAAATTACTTCATTAAAATTCCGCTCAAAAATATCTTTAAATATACTCAAACAAAAAATTTTTTGCTCGACGCAAATAGCCCTAGCTACACGCAAAATCGCCCTTGGACGACGTAAAATTCACATCGCCCGACGCTTTATCGCAAGGCCTGAGATTATTTTTTTAATATAATTGTTTTCTTAATTCTCTGTACTTTTTCTTTTAAAAAATTGTCGTTCGCGACCAAATTTTCTTAAATATTAGGAAAATATCTCCTTAAATCTCCTTAAAATTCTTACTTTTAGCCTCAGGTTTAATAGTGGGAACTCTAGTTAGAACTCAGAACTTCTCGCTTACAAAATTTTTGCATATTATACATCTGCAAAACAAAAATGATCTTTTTCACATAAGAATGTTAATTATTTAAAAAAAAAAAAAAAAAAAAAATTTATTTTTTGAATACTGCCAAAATCGACTATTTTCATTTTTAGACTAAAATAAGTAAAAATTAGGATTTTGTTAAAAAGTCAAAAAAGATTAATATTTATACCAATAGTAAATATTTGTTATGAATATATTTTTTTTCCAGATTACACATGCTATTTTATCCTATAAAAGAGGGTTATAAAAACATTTATTATTTGTATTGTGCTAAATAAGCTAATAATTGCTACTTATTGCAATTTTTGACCACTTTGAAAACTTTGTTTTGCATAGCCTGGCCCTGAAAACAAGAAATTTTAATTAAATTTGTTCTATATGTATATTTTTATGTATATATTTCAAACTATCTTCTTAAAACTTTTTATGTATTGATAGTTACTTTAAAGGTTTGAACACAGCTTCATATTAAATAAATTACATTTTTGTCCCATTCTTAGAAATAAATTTTAAAACATTTTCCATCGCTTTCTGAATTTTTTAATTTCTAAATAGTTTGAATTTAAAATACTAATGTATATGACTAATATAACTATGTATATGACTGCTACCAATGTGGTAGTGGTATGGTGATAGAGGCCTCGCCTTGTAAGCGAGAAGTTCTGAGTTCTAACTAGAGTTCCCACTATTAAACCTGAGGCTAAAAGTAAGAATTTTAAGGAGATTTAAGGAGATATTTTCCTAATATTTAAGAAAATTTGGTCGCGAACGACAATTTTTTAAAAGAAAAAGTACAGAGAATTAAGAAAACAATTATATTAAAAAAATAATCTTATTTTTTTTCAATAAATTCTAAATATAAACAGAAAAATTATTATAAATATTAAACATATTATATATATATCAGAGCTCAGTTTAATGGTCGGACGATGTCCGACTGTTATATACACTCAAAAGCTCGTATAAACGGTCGGACATTGTCCGACCATTGTTTTTTTTTTAACAACTTGACCATGACTGATTAGATGTTTTGATGATTTAAATGTTTCAGAAATGCGCCTAAAAACAAAAAGTTAAGCTAAAATTAAACACAAAAATAAGCTATTAAAAGATTTTTAGGAAGACATGGCAAAATAGTTTCAAGCATTTAAATTTATCATTAAAAATACATACCTACAAAGAAATATATATTTGGTATAACATTTAATTTATACATTGACATAATATGTTTATTTTAAACAATCATTATAATTAATTTTTGAATTTATTTTAAAGCCTTAAAATAAAGCGTAAAATAAAAACATTAAAAAAGATCAATCATTAAAAGTTATTCTTAACAAAATGATTTTTTAATTATGCGTTTAAATTTTTAAAACAACAAAACAGTCTTTGTCAATTATATATATGTATGTATAAACACACAAAAAATAGCAACAGGCAACTCAAAAAGTTGTTGGGCGATCAAAATAAAAGAACTGGTTATATTCATAATTTATGTTCATAGATGTATTTTATCCAAAGAAGTTTACTCATTGAATTAAGAGGCAAATATATTTGTGAAAAGAATTCTTATAAACAAAAACACTTTTTATAAGAAAGAAAAAAGTTTTAAATTTCCATTCACTTATATTAATCTATAATAATCTAAAAAAAATAACTAAACCTGCTCATAAAAATCAATAGTTGCCCTTTTGGGTTACTTAATTGCATTAAAGGAATATTTTTAGTCACCCTTCACAAAATTTAGCTATCTGGTACTGACATATACACACACACACACACACACACACACACACACGCACACACACACACACACACAAACAAACACCCACGGTAAAGTCCTCTGGTTGCCGATCAACATTAATTGGCTAAAATTAAAAAAATTAAAAACCAGACGATCAAATAATTATTTAGACGATCAATTTTTTATTAAATTATTTATATATAAATTAATTTTCGATGTGCCGTTTTCATTTTATTTTAATATAGAAAATAAACAAATGGTTTGTTTTGGCGTTTTTATTTTATTTAGAATTATAATAAAACTTTGCTGTTTTTTTAAAATTATTTTATTCAGAATTTAATTAAGTTGTTTGTTTTACGGTTTTTATCTACATTTTTTATTTAGAATATAATTCATTTTTAAAATTATTTTGATACTAATTAAATTTTAACTTTCTGTATTTATGTTTTTATTATATGTATTAATTATTACAAAAGTTTGACTAGTAACTTCTGCCGATCAAATTTCATCGACCAAATTCAATTTTAGGCAATCAAAATGTCAATTTTTCCAAAAGTAGACAATCTTTGACCGTTATCGGTCGCTATTTTGAGCGCTGATGAATATATATATATATATATATATATATATATATATATATATATATATATATATATATATATATATATATATATATATGTGTGTGTGTGTGTGTGTATATGTATATGTATGTATATATATCCTTATATCATAGTTGAAAGAGACTTTTAATGTAAAAAAAACTTTCTTTAAACTGCAATTTTGCTACCTTGAAAATTTCAAAGCAATTCAGTTAATGCAGAAATACATTAAATTTAATTGTTTTGTTTAATTGTTTTTTAAAAAAACCAAAATAATAATGACTAGAAAGTTTTTACTAATTAATGGTGTTTTTTTTTTATTAAAATATATTTTAAAAAAAAGCGCAGAGTGTTGCTATGTTGACTATTTTATAGCCTGCTGCTACATGGGAGTGTTGCTACATTGACTTATATTATCTATTTATATATCTTATATTATCTTTTGCCTGACTCGCAACGGAGTGCTGCTACATCGACTGACAAATAGTCTGACTCGCTAGGGAGTGCTGCTCCATCGACTAAGAGTTTGGTTTAGGGCAGGTAGTATATCATTTAATTAAAAAAAAAATTTAAGTTTTTAAACTATTTCTGGTCTGGTTTATTAGCACTCTCTTTAAAACTGCAGTTAATGGAAAAACCTTTTGACTACCATGCAATACTATATATATATATATATATATATATATATATATATATATATATATATATATATATATATATATATATATATATATATATATATATATATATATATATATATATATATATATATATATATATATATATATATATATCCACATCCCACTCCTGCCCGTTTAGGAGCGCTATTTACCTTTCTCGCGAAAGTATAATTTTTCTCATAAAATTATAATTATCATTTTAAATAAAATAAAAAACACCATGTCATTAAAGAAAAATAATTGCATAATATACTAAAATGCTTTTTAAAAGGCACGGTTGTTGCAAAAAAAAATTAGAGTTAAAAAAGAGCACCGATTTAAATGAGGATCAGCTTGGGAAGCTGTGCAAGCTTTGATAAGAAATATTGCATGCAATATAGTCAAAATAGTATGCAAATATTCCATGCAATATGGTCAGTATAGTATACAATCTCGTGCCATTCATTGTTAAGACTGATTTTACAGTTATACTAGTAAATTAGAATAAACCAAATTTGTTAGAGATACGAATAAAGATATATGTAAACTTTTATAAAAAATTTCAGCTTAAGTTAATGATTTTTTAAATATCTTGTATAAATGTCATACCTTGTATAATAATTTGAATACCTTATAAATTATTTAGATATTATCATATATAAGTAATAATTTTAAATATATAAATTAGTGTGCATCTTATGCTCCTTATTGTCCATAAATGATTTTTCCTTATTCTTAAAACTTTTCATTGGTTATCACTTGCAACTCAGTTAAATTTTTTCAAATTTTGTTTTTTATAGATTTAGAGAAACCACCTCTAGTTTGAGTTTAACAAGTTTGTTGACTAAAACTATATAAAAGAATGTCACAATAAAAATGTACTAATAAATAATACAATTTTACTATGAGTTTATATTTATCTGGTACAAAAAAAGGTTATAAGCTTAAGCTAAATAAAGTATCTAATACACAGGTTTTCCTTTATGAGTTATAGTGTTTATTGTGGTTTTAGCTAAGCAATTAAACAAGAATTTGTTTGTTAACTGTTTTCTTTGAATTGCCTTCTGAAAATCTAGACAATAATTTGAAAATAGAGGTTAAAATGCTACTCTACACCACAACCTTTTTCTTACAAAAAATATAGGTTAATTAGTAAATAAGTAAACAACTTTTTAAATAACTTATTTATTTAAAGTCATTAATAATATGATTTATTGTTTAAAAACAAGTTTTTAAAATAAAAGTTTTTACCATATATACTATGATACAGTAAAGAGGAAAGTTGATTTGGATCATGTTTTTTTTCAATTTAAATTATGAAATCTTAAAAAAAACAATATATTTATTGATTCTATTTAAGTTTTATTAGTCTAAGCATAAAGTTTTTTTAAACATTGTTAATCATTTAAAACTTTTAATTTTCTTAGTTTTTAAATTTTTATTAAGTTTTATAGAGAGAATTTTTTGAAAAATTTTAATATTTAGTCTTCTCAAGTAAAAAGTTTAGATATGATACTCATGAAAAATTGTTTGTTATTTAGATATAATTCTAAGAAAAAATGGGATCCTGATAATTTGCTTGCAGCATTTAGTCGCTCTGATTGGAGCAAAGTATGTCTAGCTCATCTTTTTACATATCAAGACTTTGATAATGGGGTGATTGGTTTGGCATATGTTGCAACACAAGGTACTAATGAACATGGTGGTATTTGCTCAAATAATTATACTGATGCGACTGGCCTTCGTCATCTTAATTGTGCTTTAAGCAGTAGTTTTAACTGGGGAAGAAAATTACTAACTGTTGAAGCAGATTTAGTTACTGCTCATGAGTTGGGCCATAATTTTGGTTCAAACCATGATGTTTCACCACCATGTGTTTCATCCACATCACGTGGAAATTACATAATGTATGCTACTGCAGTATCTGGTGAGCATGACAACAATAAGCGTTTTTCTCCATGTAGCATTGATGCTATATCAAAGGTTTTAAAAGCAAAAAAAGATAAATGCTTTGAAAAGGAAGTTGATAAGTTTTGTGGAAACAAAGTAGTTGAACAAGATGAACAGTGTGATCCTGGTTTAAATAGAACTGATAAATGTTGTCAGGATAATTGCAGGTTTAGAGATTCTTCTTATCAGTGCAGTGATTTTAATGATCTTTGTTGTAAAAAATGTATGTTTGCAAGCAATGAAACTGTATGTCGAGCAAAGTTCGAACTAGATTGTAAAGCAGAAACTAAATGTAATGGCAAACAAAAAGACTGCCCAGAATCCCCTCCACTATCTGGTAATGAATGTGGGCTATCTCATGGAAAATGTAAGGATGGTGTTTGTATTTCACTTTGTTGGCTAGAAAATAAAACTTCTTGTTTGTGTGGTGCTGGAGAAAATGCATGCAATGTTTGTTGCAATAATACAGATAATGTATGTAAACCAATTGATAAGAAGCTTCTAGAAAAAGATGGCAGTCCTTGTGCTTTATTATCAAATCAAATTGGTCATTGTGTGTCAGGAAAATGTGAAAAATATCAAATAAATGTCCAAGATCAATTTTCTGATTTACTAAAAAGCTTTACATTCAGTAAGTTTGCTAGATTTATGAAAGCAAACATTGTAGGGACAATATTAACATTTTCATTAATGGTTTGGATTCCGCTTGCATGTATTGTAAACTATTTAGATCACAAACAAAAGATAGAAGACACAGAAAAAAGGAATTTAAATGTAGAGTGGATGAATCCTAAGAGTACTGATTTTATAAAAAAGTTTATTAACAATGATAAAAAGTTGAAAGTTAAAACAAAATATCATGTACCAACATAATTTTTTCTTTATTGAAACTGTGCTAGAGTAGCATAGTAAGAAAAATAAATATTTTAAAGCTTAAATCTAATTTTGTTTTTTTCTAAAAGACTATTTTTTCGATTTATTATGTTTGATAGCTTTAAAAATGAAAATCTTTGTGTTATTTTACATTTAATATGGTTTCCAGTTGCTAATTTATACGTATCCATATAATTTTTATTAACTTGTGATATGGATGAAAAGTTCATATTGTTATGTGTATCTCTGTTTTTTGCTATGATATGAATATGAGTTTCACATTATTTTATATATCTATATATATATATATATATATATATATATATATATATATATATATATATATATATATATATATATATATATATATATATATATATATATATATATTTTTTAATTGTAATGAGGATGGGAATTTCATATTGTTATGTATATCTAAATTGTATTTTTTTTCTATATCTATATGTATTTTGTGTGAAGCAGATAAGAAATTTATGTTAACCTTTTTTTTGTTTAAATAGATATTTTCTAATAAAAGAATGAGTAGAGCATTATTTCTAAGATGCCAAAGGATTTGTTTTCAATCTTCATCACAGCATATGTTTATATCAACCAATGGGACTATTAAAAAACTTCGAAATCCTGAAGACCCACATAAATATTATAAGTGGGGTTACAAGCCTTTACCTGTTCAAACCAGTTTAGGTAATTTTGAATGAATATATCACAGCTGAAGGAGTTTAATGTATTTTCTAATTGAATTTTAAAAATTATTTGTTTTAACTTTTAACAACAACAACAAAATTGTTAAAGGGTAAGTATTCTCTAAGGAAATCTTAAAATAAGGTAAGTTATCTTTATAAGCCTAAAGATGTTAGCTAAATGGTTTAGTTTTTCAATGTGACATGTTATATATATATATATATATATATATATATATATATATATATATATATATATATATATTATATATAGACACACACATTAGGGTTTCCCAAAAAACAACATTTTTGAAAATAATTTGCTCTCACCCCCTAAATGTGTTCTATCTAATGCAAAAACACTAGGTTTAAATTTTTTTTGAATAAAAATATTTTAAGGGGTCCCTCGACCCCTTAAAATATTTTTATTACAAGACCCTCGAGTATTTAATGGGTCCCTAATTTTTTCGAAAAAAAAGTTTTTCAAAAATATTTCAACCTGGTACTCAAATAAAGCGAAATTATATAAAAATTTTAAAAATAATATTCATTTCAAAACAAAATTGTTATTTTTGGTTTTATTACATAAAAAATTACGTTTTTTAAGAAAAAATTAAAAAAAATGCATTTCTAATGTTTTTTTATGATAATTTTGATAAATAATTTAAAAATATTTTGAAATGAATATTACTTTTGAAATATTTATATAATTTCGCTTCATTTGAGTACCAGGTTGACATATTTTTGAAAAACTTTTTTTTCAAAAATATTAGAGACCCATTAAATATTCGAGGGTCTTGAGAGACCCCTTAAAATATTTTTTATTCAAAAAAAATTTAAACCTAGTGTTTTTGTATCAGATAGAACACATTTAGGGGGTGAGACCAGATTATTTTCAAAAATGTTGTTTTTTGGGACACCCTAATATACATACATACTTAATATACATAATACAAAGACTCTCCATATAGTTCTTCACTTCTGAGAGATATAAAAAGGTTTATTGAGAGTTGAAAGAAAAATATAAAAATTAATATTCTTCTAAAAGATTTTTCTTAAATATATATTTTTTTAAATCCGCATTTTTTTGTGGATTATTTATTACAATACAACTTTCATAATTTATTGTGAAAACACAAAAAGTGTAATGCATAAAGTGTTTCGAATACATAAAATATGTGAAAATTACAAAAAATAAGCTTGATTGTCTGGAAAATAATTTTCGTGTTGATTGGCAACCTTAAAATAATTATTTCCAGCCTCAATAAGGTGTGTGTATATATATATATATATATATATATATATATATATATATATATATATATATATATATATATATCTTGCATTAAGAAAAATAAGGTTGTTTAAAAAAATTTGACACAAAGGAGTTTCCATAAAACACAGAAATGAGATGGGCAATTTTTTTGCAAACGTCTCTTAGATCTGCATTGCCAAATGCCGACCAATTTTAAGGGCTATATATATATATATATATATATATATATATATATATATATACACACGCACATGCATACAGTGGTAAAATAGAGTTTGAACAAGTAAAAATTTGTTAAAATAAATATTTTTTATGAACAATTTTAAAAATATATTAGAGAAGCGTTACTAATTTTTTGTTTTTTGTTTGTTTGTTTATTAGCAAAGTTATGAATTAGTAAAACTTGAAAAAGAATCAATTAACAGGTAATTAAAAAATAAGAAAAAGGTAATTAAATAAACAAAAGAAAAAAAGTAACAATTTAACTTGGGAATCACCCAAATGAATGGTTTTTCACTAACTGCTCCCCTAATAAAAAATCTGCAAATTGCTCACCTATTTAAACAACTGTCAATTCATCAAGTCAGGCATTACATTCAGCAATAAATATTATTCTTATTGATAATATATTTAATTCTTAGCAAAGAAAGAAAAGTTATTTATTAATAGCCGTTAATAAATAACTAGATATTTACAATATATGAAATATTAAACTGCTTGAAATTAGCTAAAAAATTGTTTTACTTGAAACAAGAAAGTAAATAATGAATTTGTATAATTTAGGTACATTGAACAACTGTAAAATTGTTAGAAAAATGAATGTATCAGAAAAATGCAAGGAGAAAGTGGTGTAGGGAGAGACTAACCTTGTCTGTCTAACATTGGAGTTGAATTATTTTCAGAGATAAATTTAATTTTCAAATTTTTAATTGTAAATCAAGAGTACATTTAAAAACATTGAAAAGTGAGAAGTATGACACTTGCTTTTTTGTACATAATACCACTAGGTCCATAAAAATATGCAAAGGTCTAATGATTCAGTTTTTGTACTAAAACACTCTGGAAACATCCTTGAAACTGTCTATACCAAAATTCTACTAAAAATCTCTCAATTTTAAATACCAACAAGATGTGTTTTGACACAATGCTAAAAGTATCAAAAATACAATCAAGATAAATACCTTTTTTGCCATGGTTTCCCCAATTACCTGATTTAAGTCCCATTGAAAAATTTGACTTTAAAATGTGCTTTGTTAAAATCATAAGCAAAACAACTTAAATAAAGGTTATTAAAACACTTGGAACTTGGGTCCAAAAGAACTATGCATGAAATTGACAGTCTACGCCCACACGACTGAAAATGTGTTTTAAAGCCAAGATTGGCTTTTGTGAGTACTGAAAATTATTGTCACTGTTAAAACTGGATTCATCCAAATTTAATTGTCACTTTTTTTCATGTCCATTTATTATCAACTTGTTTGATAAAAAATTTTAAAAAGAGTAATAAGTTATTACTGCTTATAAAAAATATTTTTATATTTTCTCATTGTAATAGAATGCAGGCATTTTAAGAATTATTACAACATTTAAAAATTCCACAATTAAAGTGAATAATATATTAAAGTTTTTGATATATAAAATATAACTTATTGCATAAATTAAAAATTATTATGCAATAATTTAGAGTAATAATTTTATATTTATTAATTAGTTCCATTTGATCATAACTTTTGGTTTAAATTTGCATTTAAACCAAAAGTTTTTTTTTTATTTTTTATTTTATTTTTTTTGTGCAATAGCTGCCTTTTAAAAAGTTTTGCAGTTTATTATGCAATTTTTTTTTTCTTTATAAATATGGCTTGTTTTTTTCCTTTTAGTTATTATGATAATTATACTTTTGTTAGGAAAAGTTACACTTTTGCGAAAGCTGTAAATTAGTCCTGTAAACCGTCTTAGGGAAGTGTGAAATCTCACCTCCCAAAAATGGTTTAGATTTGATATATATATATATATATATATATATATATATATATATATATATATATATATATATATATATATATATATATATATATATATATATATATGTATATAATTTTTAGATCATCATGTTCCGGAGTTTGCAATAAGGTCACCTAAGTTTAAGTTACCCAAATTAAATAAAGAGCGCTTAACTCGAAAAAAATTAAGAGAAAAATTTGTTGAAATGCAGCAAGCAAGAATTAATCTGGAAAAATTATCAAGAAATCGACAATGTATGTATTTTTTAATACTAAGTGATCTTTTTGTGTATCTAAGTGAAAATGTTTATTTTTTTATAACTTAATTATTTAGTGTTGGTTTCTTTGGCTGAGGTTGAAGAGGAATGGATGAAAAGCTATGGGTTAATAGAGACTCAAAAGTTATCTAAGTTTTATGGCATAAATCATGATCTGTATGAGGGGATAGATATCATGTTGGAGACTTTATTAGAAATTTCATTTTGCAATGCTAAAGTTTATAGAGGCAATTTTCTTGGACTTAATGATGTAATTTGTGCTGGAGCTATTGCTTTTGCATGTTTAATGTTTAATTATATATTTTTTTGTTTGTGTTGGTGTGTGTGTATTTTATAAGGTTGGTATAGTGTTGTTATAATTAGCATAATTATGTGTGTATATTATAAGGTTGGTATAGTGTTGTTATAATTAGTATAATTATGCGTGTATATTATAAGGTTGGTATAGTGTTGTTATAATTAGCAGATCATAATTTTTTAAATGCTGATCTAAAAGTGTGTTGTTTTTTTTTTAGTTAAACTTTTTTATTTGTTGTGATTGATGTCTTGTGTAAGTAGATACTACTTTCCCTGTCAATGATTTACTTCTGTGTACTATAACCTGATTGTTTGAAATATGCTCAGTAATGCAGAAACCTTTCACACAAAAAAAAAGGAGAAGAATTTGTTTGCTGTAATCAAGTCTACAAATTCTGTGATACATCCAATATAATATATTTTTTATTATAAATGTATACTTCTATACTTTGAGTTAGCAGAGATTGTATATTTAAATATTTATAACTACAATTTAAAATATTCTTAACCCCTTAAAACTTTTTTAATGTTTTTTGTTTAAATTATTTTAGTATTAAAATGTTATTTTTTTTATAGTTTCATTTTTTATTTAGGTTCTTTATGCACCAACTAAAGTAGCTTTTAACACAAATGATGATTTTTTCTATACTCTTGTACTTTCAAATCTTGATGGCCATCCACTAGACAGAAATAAGGAACTTGTTCATTGGGTTATGTAAGTTTTAAG